GAACAAAATGACTGATGCATTTTTTAAATCTTAATGTCAGTACGATAGAAGAATTTTCAGGGTCTACAGAAGATTCGCTGAAACTGTGGGGACCCTATAAACTGTGGACCCTTACAGTTTGAGCAATCAGGTTCTTCATGGGCTTAGGGCTGTGGTTATGGGGTGTGGTTTGGGTTTCTTAATTTTGCCCTCTATTGCAACTGATATTTTAGTAGAAAAATGCAGTAAAGTGATTCTAACATGCAGATAAATAGGGCTGTGGGAATGAGTAACTGAAATAATGGTCAGTGTGTAGATTGTTTGAATCTGTAAGCATTAAAACAAAGTAAGCGTGCAAGTCAAAATACAGAAATAGATTTATAAAAAGTGCTGGTTTGCTATATTTCTAATAAAGCATGAACTTAAAACAGTGAGCAGAAAACTTCAAATTAGGCTCAAGAGTGTTACCATGACAGTCTACAGAGGTATCCCAACAGTTTACACAGCTCATTAGGGCACTCTTAGTGGACCTTAAGAGCTTTGCAGGCTTTGTGCATTTCTTAGGGGGAAAAAACCCAAGGATAATAAGATTTTGAAGATATTTTAAACAACTGAAGTAGGAATAAGAAAGTTTCTTATTCTAATTTTACAACCACATTTCTGAGGACGATAATAGTTTATTGACTTGGCTAGGATCACACACAGCAGCTGTTTTAAGACTAGTAAATGAATTCAGATAGTCTTTGTCTATATTCAGTTCCTTAGGCCATCTCCCTTCTGTGAAATTAATTCTAAAAATTTCTTCAATGCTTCAGTTACATGAAGTATCAAGACTGTTTTAGAGAGACAAAATAGAGCTAACAGTTCAATAATTAAGTAATCAAGCTTGTTTTCCCTTTGATTGTAATTTGGAATTACTGTGGAATTAGGTATAATTATAGACTAGTAAGTTTCAATAAATGCCCAGATTGTACGTGTTAAGTATATACATGTATATACATACTGCTGTATGAAGAACTTCTGAAGTCCATGTTTGCATCCAGTAGGTCCTTCTTGGAAAGTTATTATGTAACAATGAATGAGACTTCGATTAATTAAAATTTGATTTGCAGCATTCCAGTAATGTGAAGTAATGTCCTGATTCAGGAGGTTACTAAAACCCATCATTTGATATAGTAAATATACTTAAGTCTTCTTTGAAATTGTGATTTGTCTAAGTACTCTGAGCATCTTTTATTACTGTGCTAATACATTTTCTTTCTGCTTTCATGTATCAAAAATGTAACAAAAATTACAGTACTGTGTTCAAATCTGTATTTCTGCATAATCATTTAAATTTGGAACTGGATTTGGAATTGTTAGAATAGAAAGCAGTGTAAAAGTGATATAATTTTTTTTCTTTTTTCATACACCTTTTTTAATCCCCAAATTTGAAGCATTTGAATCCTAGATTAAAAATAATTACCATGCGTTCCTTTCTCACTGCAACAGCGAACTATTCATTTATAAAAATAAAATTTTTATTTAATTTCTAAGGCATTGAAATTCTATAGTAGAACTGCATAACATGAATTATACTTAAATTACATTTCTTTCCTTCTGGAAAATCAGTCTAAATGCTGCCGATAACCAATACACTTTTGGCACATTTCACTGTAGTGTAGTACTTGTTTTCTGGATTACAGGTAGGAAGACTTTATTCTCTGAAATGTAAAGGTGTGGAAAAGGAATAATTCAACTTCAGACAAGCCAGAAATCTAACTAACACGTAAGAGGAATAGTAGAATCATGGCATGGTGCTCAATTCACTGAGCTTAAACCCTTTTCATAGTAGGTAGTCCAGCTGTTACATATTAAAGAAAGTACTATTAATTGTAAGACCTAGAGAAAGATTTTGGATTATAATTGTAATTGGGATAATTTTGTAAAATTAATTAGCAATATGATCTCATTTGTACAAATGTAAAGAGTATCACTGGTAAAATTCTGTCAGGCTTCCATTGACCCAGGTGCTCATAATGTGTTAGTTTACATCAGAGGAACAGCAGTGTGTGGAAATTGGCCAGCAGATAGGATTTAGTTATTTTTCATTAGCACTTGGACTTTGATGAAGGGGAACAGAAAAGAGTTGTTTGACCTTTCAGTGCTTAAATTATTAAAGAGCAAATAGATTTGAGGTCTAGATGCTTGCAAATCTAATTTGTCTTGTGGAGTAAGGATTAAAAGACATTTTGAGTTTGAAATTGCTCCAGTCAACTTACTTCTTTCTTTAAAGTATCTGAAAATGAGTAGATGGTAGGCATCTAAAAGGTATACAAGGAGTAGTGCATGTAGTATAAATAAATATGGATTTACCATAGGAAAAGGAGCATTTTAATGACAAATTTGTTTCTGAAATGTCTACTGTCTTCAGCTTTAAGCACTGAGTGAAAAATTAAGAGAATCCTCCTTTCAGCCAGTACTGAAACAAGTCATGCTATCTCATCTGGTCTGAAGTCCCTCTTATATTCAGGCCTGCTGCAAGAAAGAAGTAATTTAGTTTACTATCCCTCATGCTATAGTGAAACTGCAGGATTCTTAAATTTGCTGCAGTATTAGGCAAGCATATCCAGCTTCACTATCTTGTAAGAATAAATGTTTGCATCACCTTCTGAATTTTTTTTCAATACTCCATTTAAGTTTGCAAATGGTATTTATTGTAGATTCACGGCAGATTAATAGTTAGAGGAGGCAACATGCTGTCTTCCAAGTAGCTTGGAATCACAGTTCTAAGTAACTCTCTTTTGTTCTAGAAAATTAATTGTGAAAATTATGTCAAAAATGGATTTGTAAGAAAAAAACAAGATTGTAATGTAGATATTCCATGGCTACTTTTTTTACAAATCAGTTCCCACAGGATCAAAGAAAGATTGCTTTGGATTGACCTTCATTTACTACTCAGCATGGAATTAATCAGCTAATGAAAATGTTTCTGCTTGATATGAAGCAGAATGTCTCTTGTTGCACAGAGCTGCAAAATGTACAAGCAGAGGCCTTCAAGTGATCCCTCAAGACATTCCTGTGTCCCTGGCTGTACTAAATTTTTGCATGGTTAGATTTCTGTATGAAGTTCAGCATTAAATTAAAACATCTAAATTTGAGTGTCCACTTCTAGATGTCTACATGTGAGCTGAGTATTTAGTTACTATAATCAATGGAGTCTGGGAAGCAATTAGGTTGACCTAAAAGTGGACACCTTCTTTCTGCTCAGTTCTGTGAGAACTGTAGATGGGTAGACATCTTCGTGAAGGCAGATAGGTGTCAGTGTGTTAACACTGAAGTAAAGCTCCACCATATTAAAAGTCTAAATCAGGCAGAAGGAAAGGTATTTATTGCATTCTGTGTGTTAACTTTCTGGGCACTTTTTGTGAACATAGAAGACCAGAATCTCCTACTGGAGATGTTAGATTTTAAAAATATAGTCTACAAGGTCTGTGGCACATGATGAGTAAGTCTGGTTAAAAAAAAACAGTAAGATGGTCAAGAAAATTGGCATTTTCTTCTCCTTGGTGATATTTGACTATAAAGACTCTGGAGACCTTAAATGATAGTGTGACAGAATCATAGAATAGTTTGTGTTGGAAGGAACCTTTAAAGATCATCTAGACTGACCCCCTATTCTGGTCAAGGGACACCTTCCCCGCCAGGTTGCTTGAAGCACCATCCCTCCTGTCATTGGACAGTTCATCCCTTTATTTCTAAACCAGATTTGCCATCAGAAGGGAAGTAGCCATAGCTGTGCAGGATATGACTAAGCCAATACATCCTGTTGGGTCCAGACTGAGATGGTCCTGCAGAAGCTCAGCCCACGTGTCCCTGTACTTTGGGCAGAATCTTCTGTAAACATAATTCTCTACCTACAGATGATGGAACAGTAACACATCAGAAGACTCTGTGGATATTTAATCTTTAAGAAACTTACTATGCAGAGATTACTGATTTTTATGAACTGTCCACTTGAAAGATCATAAATTGTTACTGGATGTAGATGATAATGCAAAAATGTGGACACATTGCCACTTTGACATCAATTACCTAGACTGACTTGTTTACTGGGATTCAAGATTCCAGGAGACAAATACTGATTAAGAATCACTGGTCCCCAGTGAAGCAATAAACTTGTAAGCCAGTCCTCTTTAGAGACATGGACTTCCCACATCACAAATTTAAAAGCACTGACTCAGTATTTCACAGCAACTGCAAGGGTATAATGATTACACTGTTTGCATATACAGCAGAAATTGCAATTTCTTTGTTCCTGTTTGAATGTCCATAGCACCTTTACAGTGGAGAGGGATGGACTGTTCTCTGTAGGTCCCAGTACAGCAGAGACTGCAAGTGCAAACTGACTTGCTAGAAACTGAAAAATACGATTATCTATGAGATGTGCAAAAGTGCTTTGCTGAGTGATAACTTTCATCAAAAAGTGTTTTATACTTGCTCAGCAATAGTCAATATGCTACTGAAATTTTACTTTGTGCTTTTATAAATACTTTAAATGTCAACAGTTAAGTGAATAGGTCCCTGTCTCTGTACTTTATGTCTTCATTTTTGTCTTAGTACTAATTTAATTTCATTTAGGTAAGATAACAGGTTAGAGAAGGGACACTATAGCTTTATGCTCACTTTTGTAAGAAAAATAATACTTAATTCCACATTTTACACTGATTAAACACACTTTTTCTGTACAAGAGTTTGAACAAGAAAATGTGTTTTGCATTCACTTGTGTCAAAAGCTGTGGTATGTATGGCTATTTTTGTTTCTATAGAATAAAATGAATTTGAAAGCATGAATCTGTTCCACAAATTCATACACCTGAATATTAAAATGTCATTTTTTTCCTGTGTTCTTTGCTTTTGACAGTTGTTTTTTTTACAGTAAATACTGGTACACTATTCCAGTTTTAGGATGGTTTGACTACCCAACTTTTAAAATAACATTAATAATGTTTTTTTTTGTTCTCTCCTTTCTGCACTCTTAGTGTCTATCAAATCGTTGTTGAGGAAGAGCGCCCACGGAGAACCAAAAAGGCAACTGAAATCCTAAAGTGCTACCCAGTGCCCATTCATTTCCAGAATGCCTCACTCTTGAATTCCCAGTACTACTTTGCAGCAGAGATTCCAGCCAATGGTTTAGTAGCTGCTCAGCCTTTTACTATTGGTGATAACAAAACCTACAGTGGTTTCTGGAATACTCCTCTTCTTCCTCATAAGAGCTACAGCATCTATTTCCAAGCTGCCAGCAGAGCCAATGGGGTAGGTCGTGCAACAGACGTGATTTTATATAGTGTTTGTTTGTAAATAAATGATTGGCATCAACTAGCAGGATGCCCAATTTAGTTGCTAATGAGAAAATGAAGTAACCGTGAAATTTTACACACTAAGTTTAAAAGATAGCAGTTTTCCTAACACAATATTGCTTAATGATTAAAGGTTACAGGAAAGAGGAGGGGAAAACCACACATTTTGTCAGTAGTTAGCAGGCAAAGTAGTCACCATTCTGTCTTATTAGCTAAAAGCTGTCCAGTGACTGTGTTTGACTGGCTTTTTTTCTTCTTTTCTGTTATTTTTCTTGCTTTGAACAAGAAAATGTGATTTTTTTTGTTACTTTTAAGCCAAAAACAATTGTGGGTTTTAGCACATCTGTCTTAGCATGTCCAGTCCTGTTACCTTAGTTTGTAACATCTTGATCTCCCTTTTTCTCACTTGGTTGCCCTGATTGAATTACAAATCACTACTTTTTTTGTCCCTTTCTGCAAACAAAATAAAAGGAAAAAGAAGTAGATGGAACTGAAATGAAAAGTGTGTAAAAAGATCCTCACAGATCATGTTTCATCAGACTAATTCTTCCTGGAATTGTTTTTCATTTGCTGGACAGGCCTACCCAGAGCCCTTCAATTCTTGATAAGCTTTGGCTGTCTGTGCTGACAGCCTGGAAATGTTTTCTGCCAGAAACCATAATGCTCCCTCATTCACAGTGCACCGACAGTGCACAAATGTGAAACACTATTGATTAATTTTTCTTCCTAAAGTTGTCTAACATGATGCCTCAAACTATACTTTCTGTAAGAAAAAGAAAAATCTCCCAAGGTCATTATGTTGCCAGAGTTAACAACCTGAACACTTGCCTGTGCTCCTGCGAATATCTTTCACATTTTCTACTTTTAGAGGAATCTTAAGTGAAATGTGTATGTACCTTACCCAAGCAGTGCTTGTCCATATAATGAATGCACTTTGGAGTTATCTAATAAGTAGTTAAATATGGAATGAGGCCCATTCTGCTCTGATATTTTATCAGTAATTTTAAGACTAGAATAATGGATGACTTTCTCTGTCTAGAAACACAAGATGTGACCTTTTCCCTCTTTGTTTGACACAGGAAACTAAAATTGACTGCGTCAGGGTAGCCACAAAAGGTATGTTTGGATTATGTCATATATTCTGTACTTCAGCTTGTTGACCTTCCCCTCACATGGTTTTTGGAAATTTCCAGAAGTGTTTATATTGCTACAACAGATCGCTAAACATATTATAGAATTTTCGTAGAATCATTTGCATCCTTAGCTGAGATTTAGGAGATTTGTTTGTTTGTTTGTAATCATTAATGTATTAATTACTTTTGGTTGTCTGCTTGAACACAGGGCTTTTAAAATATTTTCTGTGGGTTTTTATATGATCTCACAATAAATACTTTGTTCTTATATACATATATATATATATATATATATAGATATATCATAGAGTTGTAAAATTGCCAATTGCAGAGTACATACCAGCTGCTTATACATCCATAGTGCAAAATTGCCCCTCACTTTTAAGCAATTGCCTTAATTTAATTGCTGTGTAAAAGAGAAGTAGAGAAATCATGTTCTTCATTTTAATGAGACAAATCAGCTATATTTACTTGACTGTCAGAAGATGATACTACTATTTGTGAGACAAGTATGCACAATTGAGACAGTACTGGCTATAGGTTTTGTCTCCAAACAGGGAAACATAAACACATTGGTGATCTATTTATCTTTGGGGGCTAGATCTATCTGTGATTATCTTTGTAGTCTCACCGTTTTTGTACCTTTACCTGGTGGCAACAATTTCATCACCAGCTCTAAGTCTTAATGGGATGAGAATGTCATTATTTAAAAGTAACAGAAATGTTAGCATAAAGTTACCCCTGTCGAAAGTTTGGATACTCCCTATTGTGACAAATACATTTTTATGCCTCTTTGAACTGATTCCTGGCTTCTTTTCTTTTACAAACCAAAGGAAGTAGTTTAATTTACTAACTGACTGGTACTAAACCATAGAAATCTTTCAAATATCTGAACTCAACCCAAATATAATGCAGATGAGAGTTTAAATCTAGATGCAAGTGAAATCATGTATTGTTTTCAAGTAGCTTCAGAGATATCAGGAGTGAACTAGGTTACATCAGAAATCATAATAGACGATTAGAGGAATGGATTTTAAATTTTTTGAAGATTTGTATTCCTGATCACTAATGGATGTTCAACTATTTAAATGACTTGACTGACTGAAAATTTTTACTTTCTCATTTGAGAAGCGAGGGTAACTTTGTGGATTGGAATAGCTCCCATAGCAACAAGCTACTTTGAGCTAACCCATTTGGCAATGGAGATATGAGAAATGCAGGTTTTATTTTTAAAAAACTCTTCCTACATTCCTGTTTTGAAAGCATGTTTTAGATTTTTTTCATAATAAAATAATGTAGTAATGTTGGAGGTTACTGTGAGGACTTTTTTTTTTTAAACCAGAGGTATCCTTGATAGTATTTTTAGTGTCTGGTGCAAAATTTTCTTGGGGGGCTACAGTAAAGCACTGATTTTCATTATTTTGAACTGAATGATTGTATTGTATTTTTAATCTGTATTAATTAAAAAAGATTAAGTGGACACCATGACATATTTTAATATGGTATTAAAAGTAGCTTTCTGCACAGATGTTTTCCCTTTGGATCTAACAGAGATACTTAAGGGAAAAGCAGAATTCTGTGCCCTCTCTGGACCTCCCACATTTGCATTAGAAGAAAACAGCAAAAATTGTCTGTGTGTGTAGGTCAGAAATCACTATACCTGCACTGGGACAAGACAAAATTATCCTCTACCAATCTCCTCTCCTTCTGTTTAATCCCCATGAACAGCTTGGTACAGCTCAGTGTGTTCACACTGTTTGTACCCCAGTAAGCAGCAGCTGCTCTGACCACTCTGCCATATTTCTTAGACTTGCACCATTTTCCTCTGAGCTTTGAGACTACAGTGTAGCTACAAGACAGTAAGCCACTTAAGTTCTATGTGCTTATTATGCCCATCTATTTATGTGCTGTAGTGCTCCTGACAAATAAGACAAGGAACTCTCTCCAGTACTACATCTAGTTTTCATGTACTAGTAACATTCCTGAAATATTCGTAATCTGGGCTTCTCTTATCTTCAGAAGTTTATGTTCAGTGGTTTTTAAAGCTAGAGGAAGTGTTTCAGACCATGCATGTATAAAACTGGTGCAATCTTCTTTTGAATTAAGGTCTGATCCTGAAAATACCTACAGCCTGTGTACACCACTGGAATCAGTAGACACACTGTGGATTTTACTATGTATGTGAGAAGCCATATGGTTTCACAGAATCACAGAATATTCTGAATTGCAAGGCATCATCAAATCAGCTCTTAAGTGAATGGCCTATATGGGGATTGAACCCACAAACTTGGTGCTCTTAGCACCATCCCCTGACCAGCTAGGCCCTAATCAAATCAATCATGGTTGATTGGCGCACAGAGAATAATCTCACTGACTACTTCACAACTACTCCATCTTAAAGCAGACATGTAAGTATTTTACTGGATAAAGGCCTGTGCCATTCCTAGGATCAAGGTCAGTCAAGGCAACTTTCAAGTTGCTCCACTGAGACAGCTGAGATTGGCCAAGCCACTTCATTGTGTTTAGCTTGTTTGAAGTCTGTCCTGAGGACCAATATATGGATTCAAAACATATCGTGAGCAGAGCTATGTCACTTGCTTGTTAAATTCCCTTTAATTATTTCACCTCCAGATAATAAAGTTGTTGGTGCCCTTAAGACCTTCTTAAGGTCATTGAGAGTTGGTTTTATCACTGTCATGCAGTGTTCATTCCATGGCCCACCATACACTTTTTAATTTTTTGTAAAAAAAAAAAAATTACATAACTTTAATATAAGCATAGTGTTCGTGTCCCAGATCCAGCAGAACTGTTCTGTACCTTGAGTACCCTCTTCCCTCCCATTGATGTCAACAGGAATAATGCATGTGCTCAACTAGCAGACATTAACCTTTGTTGCTGTATCAGAGACCAAGTGCAGCAGATAGCTTATTTTCATATTGACAGGTTTCCTTTAGAAGACTACAGCCTATCTCCAGAAACAGCAGCCTAATTCTACTGGGTCAAATGTATGTCTGGGGTCAGTAGCTAGATAATACTTTCTCATTCCATCAAGTGTATTTTAAACAACCTCAGTTTGTATCCTTTTAAAAAATGATCATGTTTTATGACCATTACATTTTTACAAACACAACCTCTGTTAAATGTGTTCTTTTAGAGATCATATAAAAATCCTGATTGCAGTGATTACAAGTATAAATTAGGGTGAGAATGTTTGATTTTGTAGAGCTGAAAGTTCTCCTTCTGCTTCTGATGAAGTCAAAGGAAGCCTTTTCCAGTGACTTTGTTAGTAGAAGGATCACAGAGCGCATTATTATGATGTGGAGTCTCCTGATCTCAGTTTTCTGTAGAGAAAGGCTTCTGGGACCTCTGTGACTATTTGGTGTATATACAAATGGGGAGACTGCAGGGTTTCCACTCCCATTATTTTTGACAAGATAATTAAGCAAACAAACAAACAAAAATCCGGAATAGCTTTTTGTACCAGTGGTAATAAAGGTTGTCATATATTGCTTGAAATATAGCTTTCATATTCCTACTCTTTCTTCAAGCTAAATGACTGTAAAATCTCAACAGACTAAGCTGAAAACATTCCAAAACTCCTCCAAGTTTATTGCTATCAACTTTGTGGTGGTTTGTGATTTATATTAAGACTATATTTCCTGATAAGACTTACAACACTGTCTGGATAGAAACATCTTGATTATCTCCTAGGAATGCGGTTCTCAAGAGGGAGGCATCATTGCTCTAATTTTGCAATATTGGAAGGCTTTCATTAATTATGAGAGAGAAAAGGATATTATAATATTTTAAATCCAATAGCAACAGTACTCTAGAAGCTACTATCAACATTGCATTTCAGTGTTGCTGAGGGATATTTCCAAATATTATGCAGCAGCAGTTTGGAGTTTAATTGTCTGCAGATGGTAGATGATCTATTTTCCTCTCTCACTGCCACATTTCTAATAGCACCCAGGCTGTTCTATGTAAATGAGTGATCTTTCATATAATTTTGTCCTTAATTTTCCAATATTTTTTCTTTGCATCGTTCTCCAGCTGCATCGTGTTGGATCTGACCTTTTAATTTTTTTAATATTCCTTAATATATATGTATCACAGCATGCTTAACCATTTAGAGGCAATCATAGAACTGCTGGAAAACAAAGAAATAACAAATTTTATTAATGTGAGCCACAGTAATATTGTCTGTAGCAGGGAGTGGTGGTTGTAACTCTGTTAGAAAAGTCTGGATATTTCAGGGCACAAACAAGTCAGGATTTTCAACTTTTTCTTGTGATCTTAAAACTCAGACCTGGGACAGTTACACACCTACCCAATAAAAGTGTGCCACGTCTCAGCAGTCGTTCTCTGTATGCTGAACATTAAGTATGTGGGTAGTGTAGTGCATGCATTTTTAGAACAGTGACCCAAGTGGGTACAAGAAAAATTAATCTTAACTAGCTGAAAAATGCTTTACATAAAAACTGTCTTTTAAAAATTGTAGGAAAAATGTAGTATTATGAAAAAGGAAAATAAAAATGAAACTAGCTTAAATTACTTAGAGAAGTTGATATGAGAGTACTCTGAATAATCAGCTTGTTTTCACTTAGAAAAATTAGTGCCCTGACTAGCAGAGCCAGAGAGTTTCCAGTTTCCTCAAATACAGTAAATAATGTGCTTTAAGTCCTTTTCATGAATTAAAGTCACACACAACAGCTTACTAATTTGCAGAATAACCACACTAACAACTGAAGATGAAAAGGAATTTGTGGGAGTTTTTTGCTTTTTATTTGTGAAGTTCAGACAATAAACAACTGACCAAGATTCTTCTTGCTGGCATAGCTTCAGTCTGGCTTTTTTTTCCCTCATGCATGCTGACCTGGAACTCTTCCTTTGCCTTAGCTGCGATAATCGTGACTCAGCTTACAACACCATACATTCGCATCGCCCCTGCTGCAGGCGACGACCAGCTAACAGGTCAGATGTTCAAGTACAGACAAGTCACCATGCCCATTCTGTCTCTTTCTCTTTAGCTTCTATTCCCTGACAGTTTCTTCCTTCTCTGCTCATAAACAGTTTCCTGTGTTAAAAGTTCCTTTCTGTTTATAATTTTTTTTCCTCACACACACGTCCCTGTATGTACGACCCCACTGCATGTGCCCATTGTGTGTGATCTGTGGAATGTTCCTTCAAGCCTCATGTTGTAAAGAGATCTTGTCTTGCTCCATCCATAAATTAAATGAAAGTTTGAATATAGATATATATATATATCTGTGTACCTGTTTATTTTTTTCTCTGTTATTAGATCAAGACACTAGAATTTTTAAATAATAGAGGCTCAAAAGTTGCATGTGCAAGTTAGGACAAAGATCTAGTATTAGCGGATTCAGGTTTTTTTTCCTGTGTAATGGTAGGAAGATCATGTTTTCTGGCAAAATTTCAATATGAAAGAAATTAAAATGAAGAAATAAAAGATATTTCTTTTTATTATGACATACATGAGTTCTAGGATTAAAATAAAGCAACCTAGCATGTGACATATGAGAATGAGCAAGACTTAAGAATTTAAAATCTAATTGTCAAAGTAAACTCAGTATTCAAGTGGAGCTATTGTTAGGCTGTATATGGCTTGAAGGATGGCTCAGAATATGCTAGAAAACCTTTATGAACCTGGGGAAATTATTGATTTTGTCAGCATAATAAACCTGTGCCTAAAACCTTTCAGGGATTTGCAAACATTTTTATTTTCAAAGAGAACCAAAGAGCATTAAAAACTCTAGAACCTGAAGTAATTAAATATCTAATGAGGGAAGCAAACCTAGTCCATCATCTTTTAGCTTATGATAAATCTTTGCCTTTTTGAAGAATACTGGAATAGTTCCTTGGGAAAGCACATTGTTACCGTGTTGCTACCAGGGTGTGTAAGAGAAAAGTTCAGATGTCTGGTATCTGGATACTGCTACAGTAAATAAGAGGCAGTTAAATGATCCAGCTTAAGATAAGAGGATTAGTGACATGTCTGCTCTAGCTTTTAATTCTGGGGTATTTGTTATAATAACAAAGCTGAGTGATCCATGAGGCCCAAGTTACCTTGTCAATCAAGACAAAATTGCTGCATGTATACTTTTATTTTCTAATAATGTATGAACTAACCAGAATAACATGCTTATATGATGCCATTAAGTAGCTTGTTCTTGTTACTGCTGCTTGGCAGAAGCTGTGTCTGCATACATTTTTATACCTCAGTTAATTTTTACTTGACAATTCAAATAAAATATTGAACAGACAGGATCTCTTCCATATCCTTGAAATTCAGCAAGTTTTGATTTCTTTATCTCAGGATTCAAGCAAGCTTCTGTATTTTTCCATGTGGAGATTGAAATGTTTCTCTTCTCATGTTTTGGTTTTTTTTATTTGTTTCAGTGCAAAACTGGATAGCTATAGGTAACACTGGAGATATGCCTGTTCCACAAGAAGATGGCTACAGTACTTAACAATGAGAGAAAAGAGATATGGCTAGCATAGGATAGCTGGCTAACATAGGATTTATTTCATTGCTTTGTCACTGGTGGCATTGGCAGTTTGTGGTTATCTGTCTGATCTGCGAAATGTGTTTCCTTTTTCTTGAAAAGAAAATAAAAATGTTCTACCAGAATCTAATTTTGTCGTGAAAAAGAACATATCAGATTATACCTGCCAACAGCATTTATAGCTATTTGTGAAATGTATTAAAGAGCCTTTGAAATACCCTCATCATCTTCCCAACCCCACCCCATGCTTGAAAGACTGTGCTCAAAAGGAAAGGAACATCTCCCTCCTTGTTTGCCACAACTGCAGTAACAAGCAAAGAAACCTCACCCAGCCCATGTGGTTGTCCCATGACAGCAATGAGAATTCCTCTTTTTCTAGGGAGACATCCTGTCTAGGTGTCCTTAGGGCAGGCTTTTTGACTTCAGGGCAGTACAGCAGTACTGCAGTACCCATGAGAAGCACAAAGGTTTTCTTAAAGGAGGTTTACAGAAACGGGACCACACATGAGGGAGCTGAGAGTGCTACACATTGTCCCCACATTTCTCTCCTGTAAATTTCAAGACTGTGGAAAGGATTTACATTTAAAAGCATTTGTTTATGTGAAAGTACAGGGCTATTTCTAATTGTAGTTACCACAAGCCCTACAGCTGTAACTGTTAAATGTCACTTAGCATTTTCTGTTCAGTGCTTTTTCCTCGCTTCTTTGCTCAGAACCAAAGTAATTATATTTGAGATGAAGAAATTACTTTCATCTTTTAGCATTTGAGGAGATACGTAAGCGGTGGTGGGAAGGTCAAGGATGGCATTTTCGGGTTTCTTTACATTGGAAGTTGATGCTTCTTGCATAATGAAAATTTAAAATCTTGGCTGCATTTCTGAATATCGTTACCAAATTTGAAAGGTCTTCCTCTTCACAAATATCATGATAATACAGCTCTGCTTTCAAGCCAATTCTACTTGCACTCATTTCCTCCATCCTCGTCATCAATTCATCTTACCTCTTACTGGTGCAGTTGATAAACAATGCATTATTAATTTCTCTTTGTCCTTCCTTTCTCCTTCCTTTTTCATATAAAAATAAAAGGTCTTCCATTTATAGGATTACCAGCTAGTTGCCCTAAATATCTTGACAGCCACTCCAGGTTGCCTTTGCAGCCTGTCGCTAAGAGAACTTTTCCTTGCAGTTGCATCTAAATGCAGTTGCATACAGCGTTGTTGTCCTTGGGTTATAGCATAAGATAACCTCATGTAAAAGCAACTGTGTGATTTTGACTCTTAGAAGCCAAAACAGGGAAATTAGTGCTTAGTCAATGCATTATTATCAGTGATCCAATAATGTAGTAGCAAAGGAATTCAAATTTGGGGGATAGTGTTTAACTTTCAGTGTTACCTTACAAAAAGTAACTAACTTGAAATCTACTCAGTTGACTCTGTCCTTCAACAGACAGAGAATATCTAATATCTTACACCTGTCTATGAGGAAAAAAGATTATGTATACATGAAGTATAGCAGTACTCATGATACTATCTCCATTTTTCATAACAAATACGGTTTATCATGCAATTGAAATAATGTAGAATGTTATTAAAAAACTTAGCCCACACAAATGTAATTGTATGATCTTAACTTAAAAGTTAAATTTAAAAATCCATCTTTTTGAGAAAGACTGAAATCATTTGCAGTTTGTTTCCGTATTTTGTAAGAGACACTTCATCTAATGGATTTAAATTGGCCATATTTGGTATTCACTTGGCCCTCATATATTTTGTTCTCTGTGTTCTGATAAAATAGCATGCTTGGAATCATGATTAGGGTCTTCCATTCTGTCAGGCATTTTCTTAATTGTTGAAATATGTCTGAGCTACTTGTATTTAAATTAAAGTATTTCCATTTGTGATTTAGTGGAGCAGCCACTACTTCACTGAATATTATTAAGACTGATTTCCATAGAACGCCCTTTTTACGACCCGTTGTAATTACACATCCAGCTGCAAGAGAGAGCTCTGTATTGTACATTCTTCATATGTGAAATTCTTGGTAAAAATCAAATGCAGCAAGATCTGTCAGAAGTTTTGTAACGTAACTGATACTTAACAATTGGGCAGTTGTTTGTTTTTTTTTTTTTTTAAGATAGGGGTAAATGCTTAAAATATAAATTAGCTTTATCCTGCACACCTTAAAGTCTAGATGATCACCATATTTTATAAACAAGTTAAAAGCAGTCATAAAATAAGCCCAGTCAGTTTCTTCTCCCTTTCGAAGTTAGCACTATAATAAAATATACCCCTTTTTTTTAAAATGGGCATTCAGTACATAGCAAGATTTATTACAGTGTTCTGGGCCACATTCTGTTCCCAGCCATTCCACTCTAAAAGTAGAAAAAATAAACTGAAATCTTTGATTGATTAAATCACAGCTTCACGGTACTTTTTTTTATGTCAAGGTATTTACTCCAGTTTTGTACCGCATTACTGAAAACACTGTTTATTAACAAAAAAACCAACAGCATAAATTTGAGAAAGAGTGTTTTGCTATTTACCTCGATTGTTCTGCTTTATAATGCATCTGAGGTATTAAAACATGTGCTGGACAGACTTTCACATTAATTTTTTCTCCATCCTGGACCATTGATTTATATGTATTCTGACATGCTAAAACTTGAAGTGCTATTTTGGGCAATGTAGAACCCGCTGTTTCCTAGTTCAGACAATTTCCTAGTTGAATCTGTAATAACAAACCTATGTGCAGACGTGCCTGTCTGCATGTTCAATACACTATTTTAGAAGTTTATTCTTGTCTTGCTACTTCTGGGCAACATTTGCATTAGTTGGAGGTGTGGATAGTTATCCAGGAGAGAATAAGCACCTGTGTGCTGTAAAGTCAAAGCCATATTGCAGTGCTGTTGCAAGATCAAGTAACAAGGAAAGCAGAATGAGAATGGATCTGACTGTCCAAAGTGAAATTCTGAGCCTGTTTTTATGTGATGGCCCCAACGATTGTTGTGCCGGTTGTTCAAGGATTCTGGTCCTCTTGCTCAGCTGGGCAGAATGCAAAACAAGGAACTGTTCCTACTTTCTGCAGCACTGGATGAATGCATTTCAATGGGCTGAGGTGTCACTTGTGATTTATTGCCCATTTTTGTTCTTTTATGTGTTATATTTGTCATTTTTGCAGTGACAGTTTCATCTATAAAACAGTATAGTTACAAGAAAATGTTAAGAGGATACAGGAGTGCCATGGGAGCTGCTGTTTCCTTTTCTCCCTTTTATTTCCCCTAGTATGTTACAGAGTCAAATGTCAGGTTTTCTGTAAGGCAGTGCAGCCAAAGCATCTGTGCTTTTAAGCATAAGTGCATTTTCCACAGAGCAACTGAAGAAGAGCTAAAGTTAAACAATAAGACAAAGAAGGCCTAAAAATAATACTAATAACATTTCCCAAATGCTGA